GGTTGGTGGACGTGGCGGATGCAGGAGGGTGTGACGTGGCGGAAGGTGAGGGTGGGGGATGACGTGACAGATGCAGGTGGGTGTGACGTGGCGGAAGGTGAGGGTTGGGGATGACGTGGCACCCTAAAAGGGTACACGTGAGCGGCGCATGACGAAGCGAGGCGTCTCAGGTGGGTGGGGGGTGACGTGGCTCTTGGTGGGGGGTGTGACGTGGCAAGTAGGGCGGGTTGTTGGTGGATGCAAAAGGGTGTGACGTGGCAGAATGTGAGGGTTGGGGCTGACGTGGCGGTTTGGAATGGTACACGGGAGCGGCGCGTGACGAGGCGACGCGTGTCAGGTGGGTGGGGGGTGACGTGGCATGGGGTGGGAGGGTGTGACCTGGCACGTGGGGCTGGTTGTTGGTGGACGTGGCGGATGCAGGAGGGTGTGACGTGGCACGTGGGGCTGGTTGGTGGACGTGGCGGACAAGGAGGGTGTGACGTGGCGGAAGGTGAGGGTTGGGGATGACGTGGCGGATGCAGGTGGGTGTGACGTGGCGGAAGGTGAGGGTTGGTGATGACGTGGCGGTTAGAAATGGTACACGTGACCACTGCGCATGACGAAGCGAGGCGTGTCAGGTGGGTGGGGGGTGACGTGGCTTGTGGTAGGGGGGTGTGACGTGGCAAGTGGGCCGGGTTATTGGTGGACGTGTCGGATGGCGCAGGGTGTGACGTGGCAAGTTCAAACAGTGTTGCTAGTCACCATCCCATGGTCACGCGGCCACCCTCATAACTGCTGGTTTCTCTCTTCCATGTCGTGTTGTATACCTTACACCCCTGCGCAGAACAAAGCCTACTTAGTGTGCTCTCAGCTCATGTTTCTGAACCCGCCGGAGAAAATACAGTACTACCCTGCACCGGAGGAAGTGTTCGAAGCGTTCTCTGTCCACTTGTCTGCAGAAGGGCTCGAGGCAATGAAGCTGCTGTGGTTGCACAATGACAAGTCAACCATGGGAGTCTTCAACCACCAGCTGTCCTCAACAAGGTCAACTATCAACTCCACCCTCAGGCCAGCAGCATACACCGGCATGGGCCTTGCCGATTACAGCCATCTCGTGGATAGCCTGCCCACTGAGCTACACCCAACGACCTGGTTCGACGACGATCAACTCCTAGCCGAGTACAGAGATGGTATGTGCAGTGCAACTCGAAAACACAATATGCCCTACCATATGCCCCTTGGCAGCTACATATCACCGTGCGATGTGGCTCACCCTGACTCTCATCCCCCCATTTGATTTCTCTACAAAACCCTTTCCAACCCATACCCTCCCTGCCAAAAAGCAGAACAGTGGGCCCTCAACTGGCACTTTGACAAGGCCACCGGGACACCCTTCAGCAACCCCTTGTTCGCTTATGCGTTCAAGCTCTCCTTCAAGAGGGGCGGGGCGGTGTTCACCAAGTTCAAGAGCCGCATGGTGGCATGGGGCCTGTTTTCGGTAAGGATGTAGATATGTGTTTGTACCCCCATGCCTCATCCCCTTAACCCCTTGCCTGTACTTCAGCTAAAACCCTGGTCGATTAGGCCTTTGCAGTTACGTAGATAGTGACGACTGCATCACCGCTTTCAGTTGCCTCATTTACCCGTAACCTACCCTCCTCATAAACCATCCACCCAACCCTACACCACATTGCTGATCGAATGGCCCCTTCTGCAGGATAAGCGTCGCAAGCGAATCAGTAGCCAGCCGGAGCAGAACAGGCCAGACTACCAGGAGTGGTGCGAAAAGGTCAAACAGATGATCCATTTTGCTGTCGTGGAGCGGAGGATCCCCCACGATCCGGCTATGGGTGCGTTCGTCTTTCCGAACAAGTTCCTCATCGACGACGGCGACCTTGGAGATGTCGTCCCTGCCCACCGGGCGCTTTCAAGGCCCGCCAGTGCGTAGGCTATTTGACCTGGTGCTAAGACTGCTTGTTGCTAGAATGCTGAATAATGGTTCTTGTAAACCGCAATAATAAATGCAATTTTGAAATCCTCAATATCCAAAATGAACAAAAACAGAATTTAGTTTTGAATAATTTGGTCACGAATTTGCAACAAAACGGATTGCGCCCGAATGTCATCCGGAAAAGCTCGCGTGCCAAATTGGAACTTGAACCGAGCCAAACCTTGTCGCGAGATGTGTCTCGGAGCTCCTATCAAATGACTCCAACCGTCGGTCCAAATTGGCTCCGGATTTTTTTACGCGAAGACAATCGAAATCAAAATTCGTCCAAACTTGGCATAGGGTTTTTGTGATGTTTGTGTGCGTGTCCCTTTTTCTTTTGGTGTGTATGCGTGTATGCATGCCCTATGATTATAACGAGCCTTGCTGTAGTATGGCAGGGGAGTGTTAGAGGGCCGTACGACAGCAAGGGCCCTCAACGACCTGGCAAGAGAACTGCGCCAAGAATGGCGCTGAAGACAGCAACGCAGAAAATGCGCTGATGTCGCGCGACTATTGCAGTGCCAACGAATTCCGTACTGGGGTGCTCCTGGTCTAGGGAAGTCGTGAGCACGATTCTTGGAAAGCGTGCCACTTCCTAGCAAGTCAGTGGGCATCATATATGGTGTTGTTGAGTTGGAGTTGGTGTTGGCTGGGGTGGCGTGTGAAAGGCCATTTCACTGCTGAGTTGGGTTGGAAATTGAGCGTGGCGCATTCACCCACCCGCACACCACTTTCGTGGGGTTGGGTTACACCGAAGCGCCACGCAACCTTTTGTGAACTCTCGCCTGCCTATATGAACTTTGTGTGTTTGCTTTTGTATTTATCAATGATATTACAGTTCTACTTGGTTTCTTCCTTAGTCGTTTGAACACGAGCACAACCAAAACTCTACCGAGTTGGTGGCGCAACACCGTTCTCATAGCAGAAACTCTCTCGCTATCGCTACGATCTCCATAATATTCCTTCACAAGGAACTTTGTGCTTGGTTTTGTTTGGAATTTGTGAGTGTGTGTGAATGTTTTTTTTGTTTAAGCAAATATCTGAAAGAACTTCTCTGCCCAAGAGCTTTCCGACGAACCAAGAATCGTCGCGATCGGAGCACGGATGAGAAAGATACGAACGGTTAGAGTTTGTGTGCTTTTGATATATTCTTGCGACGACTTTGGGAGTTTGTAGAGTGAATCTATGTGGGGAATAGACCACTGGGAGTTTGGAAATTCGTCACCTTTACTTTTAGTTGTTGCCAAATGGTTGGGAGAATCCAAACCAGGCTGGCAAGTGCGGCCAAGTTGGGTGAGGTGGATTGCATGGGTTGGGAAAGTTACATTAGTAAAAGTGGGGTTCCTACACGGAGGATATATGTTGGATGCACGTCATTCTGAGTGCATGTCATCCTAACGTCCTGCCAAGTGCTCGTGCTATTCATGCGTGCATTGTTTGCATGAGCATATGTCATTGTGCATGGCTGTTGGATATTATCATCTCTGTGTTTTTCTCCAAGTTTAAATGCTTGATCATGCAGGATAAATCCAGAGCTTTCCAACGATACCAAGATCACCTTATTCCGACCAAGATCACCCAAGTTACAAGATTTCCAAGACTTGGATTTCTTATTACCTTTTGGGGTTATATCTTATTTGGGTGATTACTTGGGACATGACTATAAAGGGATCTTTGGTTAGGTGGTTAGGGAAGGCAACCTTGACTTTTGAATTGGGGTGGCTAGAAGTTTCTAGCATGGGACACCTAGGCAAATTCCAACTAGATTGGATTTTGCATGTGACACCTCAAGGACCTCATGATGAGGGTTGCATCCTTGCTGCTAGGAAGGTTCCTACCATCCTTCCCTAGCTCTTGGAGAACCCCTTCCCTCTCATGGTTCTCTTGGAGTCCCCAACTCCAACTTTCTATGCCTACATGCTTGTACTCCCTCTACCATTCTAGTCATGCGGCTGCTGGACGTTTTTACTTGGTTTTCACTCTCTAGACCATCTTAACGACTGATTCAACTTGGAGATGGTAGCTGAGCCTAAAGCGCACAATCCTACTGAGCGGATTTGCGTTTAGTTGAGTAATAAGTTCGTCGTAAGCTCTCAAAGTGACGGATCCTGAACAACAAGTGGTATCAGAGCGGGTAGTCGACTTTGAGACAACGAATCGTCGTGAATTCTCGATCAATGTTGACGAGTGAGACATTTTCTAGTAGCTCTTCTTGCGACCTTTCGATTGGTGGTCAAACCGCGTTGTAATTCAAAATATACAGTCCGCGACGGCGATTTTCGTAGAATCAAAATTTCTGGCAGAATTCTCTCCAAACGATTTATCAAGTTTCCACCGTTCATAAGGCCTCAATATGGTTGGTACGAACTCCGGAGGTGCTAGTGGCGAGATGGATAGAAGTAGAGAGGCTGAAGAGCAAGGGGGAGTTGCTGGTGGAGGAGTGGGGACTCACCAACCAGCCAACCCTATGCTACCCTCAACTTCTACACCATCTCCTACAACCGTGGATCATGTGAAGGCTTTCTCTATTGAGAAATTCATGGGGGAGGACTACGAGCACTGGAGCTTCCGCATGAGGCTGATGTACACCCAATACAAGCTATTGGATCTGGTGGAGGGGAAGGAGAAGATGCCGGAGGCCGCGGATCTGAAAGGAGCGTGGATGAAGCGATCGTTCGACGCGTACATGCTCATGGTGCAAGCGGTTGGCGGGCGACAACTTGACCACATCAAGGACCTCTTGGGTGATCCAGAGTGTGGCCCCAAGGCTTGGAGGAAGCTTCTGGATGTGCACTCACCGACTCATGCTACCGGCATCGTGCTACTCGCGTGGCGGCTGCGCGACATCAAGTTCGTTGATGGAGAGCCGATGCAACCGGTGTTGGATGAGATGCGGGACATCTTCACGAAGCTACAAGGCGGCGGTGTGGTGTACCCGGAGCTCGTGCAATGCGTGGAGATCGTGATACGGCTGCCGGAGTCGTGGTCTGCCCTTGCGATCAACCTCAACTCTCAACAGCCCCAGTGGAGCATGGATTACATTCGCGCGCGCATCCTAGAGGAGGACTTGCGGCGGCGGAGTCTGGAGCGCTTGGAGGAGGGGGCTGGCTATGGATTTGGAGGTGGAAAGAGTGGCTTCAAGAAGAAGTGGAAGGGCAAAAACAAGGACAACCCTAAGGAGGATGGCGGCAGGGGTCAAGGGGAGGTGTGCTTCTACTGCAAGAAGCGCGGGCATCGTTGGCGGAAGTGCTACCAACGACCCAAGGATTGGACCCCGCCTTCATCAAGCAACCAGCGTGGTGGCACGAGGAGTGGGGGAGTCATGGGAGCTAGTGGAGAGGAGAAGGATGAGGAGAAAGGCGGCAAATCTGAGGAGCGGAAGGCCGGGTTCTTCTTCTTCGTGAACGAAGGCGCAACCAACCTCGCTATGGCTGCCAAGGTTCTCCTACACCCCCTCACCCATTGGGTGATTGACTCGGGAAGCTCCTGGCATATGACTCCTCGTGCGGACCTACTCGATGAGATTCAGCCCGCACCCATCTCTACAGTCACATCCGCTACGGGCGCTAAGGCCAAGGTCATGGGCATGGGTTGCGCCAAGTTCATGGGAGCGGATGGAGAGCTCGTGGGGCTAAAGAACGTGCTGTGGGTGCCGGACTTGTGCGCGAACCTGATTTCGCTTGGGAGATGCGGGTGTGAACACCAAGACGATTGGCTCGGAGCGCTATCGTGCCTACAACGATGAGCGGCTGATTTGGGACCTGCATTGGAAAGGGGATGTCCACAAGCGGATGTGGCAGATCCCGGTCCTCCCTTGGCGGAAATTGGGCAAGGCGGCAGCGGCGGCATCTATGGAGGAGAGCGTCACCGAGGAGGAGCAGCAAGGTGTGCAAGGAGATGAGCTGATTGGAGGAAGCGCGGCGGTGAAGGCGTCGGCCACCTCGGGCCAAGCGGATTGGGAGACTTGGCATCGGCGACTCGCACACGTGGCTGTTTCTACACTGGAGGTGATGCATAAGGAAAAGTGCGTGCATGGGCTGCAACTGCAAGGAGATGGCGCTCACTATGGCAGCTGCGAGGCGTGCATGCAAAACAAGTTTGCGCGGTTCCCGTTTCCACGTGTGGAGGGATCAGCTAAGGCGCCACTGGAGGTGGTGCACATGGACCTGGTGGGTCCTATGAAGACTGAGGGGACTGGGGGAGTGCTGTACTTCCTCACCATGGTGGACGAATGGAGCCGTTTCACGTGGGCACGTCCCTTGTCCAAGAAGAGCGATGCTGCAGTGGCGATCAAGGAGGATTGGTTGCCGATGGTGGAGCGGCAAGCGATGCGGTTGGTGAAGGTGCTGAGGAGCGATCGTGGTGGGGAGTTCCTTGGAGCGGAATTCACCAAGTTTCTCAAGAGGAACGGCATCTGACACCAGCTGACCTGCCCAGGAACACCGCAGCAGAACGGCATTGCTGAGCGTGCCAACCGGACCATTGGCGAGGCGGCTAAGACCTTGTTGGGGGCTGCGGGGATGCCCTACAAGTTCTGGCCTGATGTCGTTCGCCATGTCATCACGGTCAAGAACAGGGTCTTGACTCATGTTGGCGACAAGCATTGGGTGCCGTACGAGCGTTGGCTTGGGAAGAAGCCATCCATTTACATGCTGTTGGTGTGAGGCTGCATGGGGCTTGTGATGGTGCCTAAGGAGCAGAGGCACAAGCTGGAAGTTGCTGCTGTGTGGGCTGTCCATCTGGGGATGGCTCCTGACTCGAAGGGGTGGCTGATGTGGGACCCCAAGAGCAAGAAGACGCTGGTCAATCGTGACGTCAAGTTTGTGGAGGACGTCATGTACAAGGACTGGCAGCAGCAGCAGCAGGTGCAGATTGGCTTGCGTTTGCAGGAGATTGAGCGGTCTGCAGTGGAGGAGGTTCAGCTGCACCTTGAGGATCTCCCTGGGTCAGAGCTGACCAGTGACCACAGTGGCGGTGGTGAGCAGCAAGGTGCTGGCCCTGCTGCGGAGGAGGGGTTGGAGGATGAGTCGGCACGTGTGGACTCACCATCTCAGCCCGAGCCTGCTGCAACCGCCAAGGTCACCAAGAGGAGTGTGCAGAGAGGAGCTTCACCACATGGGCAGCAGATTGCAACCCGCGAGAAGAGAGTGGCAGCAGCACCCTCAAGGCTGAAGTATAGCCGTTTGGGAGGACCCAAGCAAGGTGTCATGGCGGTTCAGGCGGATGAGGGAGAGGATGAGGAGATGGCGTTCTGTTTCTTCACACCTCTGCCTGGAGAACCAGCCACATTGGAGGAGGCACTGAGTGGACCCCAAAAGGAGGAGTGGAAGGCTGCCATGGATGCGGAGTTCAACAGTCTCATTGAGAATGGGACTTGGGAGCTTGTTGAGTTACCCGAGGGGCGACGGCCGATCAGCAGCAAGTGGGTCTTCAAGGTGAAGAGTGGTGTTGATGGTGCGTTGGAGCGGTTCAAGAGCCGTTTGGTCGCCAAGAGGTTTCAACAGAAAGAGAAGGTCGACTTTGGGGAGATCTTCGCTCCCGTTGCCAAGCCAGTGACACTGAGGACTTTGATGGCTGGCGCAGCTGTGAAGGGATGGCACGTGAAGCAGATGGATATCACCACTGCGTTCCTCAATGGAGTACTGCTGGAGGATATCTACATGGCGCAGCCCGACGGCTATGGGGATGGGACCAGCCGGGTGTGCAAGCTTAAGAAGGCCATCTATGGCCTTAAGCAAGCGCCCAGGTGTTGGTACGAGAAGCTGGAGGAGGTGCTGCTGGGTGGAGGCTTCAAGACGTCCCAGGCGGATCACAGCTTGTTTCTCCTTGGAGAGGGGGAGCAGCTGCTCTTGCTGCTGGTGTATGTCGACGACATACTGCTGTTCTCACCTTCCATGGAGCAGATTGAGAGGACACAGAAGCTGCTGATGGACAACTTCAAGTGCAAGTTGCTGGGGGATGTCCACTATTACTTGGGGCTGCTGTGCATACGCGACCTGATGCTTCATTCGGACTGGGGCAGCTGGCCAGAGTTGTGCAGCGGCCCACTGAGGAGCACTTAGAGGTGGAAAAGCGCTTGGTGCGCTACCTCGGATCAACGGCATCTGCTGGTGTTCAGTTTTCAGCTGGCGGCCAATTGAAACAGATTGGAGCAGATGGGGTCACGCCTGGAACCTTGAAGCTGTCGTGCTTCACCGATGCCACATGGGCCTCAGAGGATGAGGATCAATCATCAGTTGGTGGCTTTGAGTGCATGGTCGGAGGTGGACCAGTGAGCTGGAGGTCCAAGAAGCAGAGTGAGATTGCTCAGTCGTCCGCAGAGGCAGAGTACATGGCGATGTACCATGCCATCAAGGAGATTGTGCTCCTGAGGAAGCTGCTGGAGGACATGGGAGCTGAACAGGAGGGACCTACACCACTTTTCTCCGACAGCGAGGCTGCTATTGGCATGGCCAATAATCCTATCCTGAATGGGCTGAACAAGCACATGAAGATTAAGTGGCACTGGATGAGGCAGATGGTGAAAGAGGGAGCTGTTGAGCTTCACCATGTGAAGGTTACCAAGCAGGCGGCAGATCTCACCAAGAGACTTCCCGAGAGCGCACACTGGAAGTGTGCTAAGATGTGTGGCATGGCATTGCACTAGTGTGGGCAGCAGTGTCATGAGTGCATGTGTGATTGTGTGCATGAGAGTTTACATTTGTGTGAGTGTGTGTGCATGCAGTCCGTTAGTCTAAGGGGGCGTTTGTTGGATGCACGTCATTCTGAGTGCATGTCATCCTAACGTCCTGCCGAGTGCTTGTGCTATTCATGCGTGCATTGTTTGCATGAGCATATGTCACTGTGCATGGCTGTTGGATATTATCATCTCTGTGTTTCTCTCCAAGTTTAAATGCTTGATCATGCAGGAGAAATCCAGAGCTTTCCAACGATACCAAGATCGCCTTATTCCGACCAAGATCGCCCAAGTTACAAGATTTCCAAGACTTGGATTTCTTATTACCTTTTGGGGTTATATCCTATTTGGGTGATTACTTGGGACATGACTATAAAGGGATCTTTGGTTAGGTGGTTAGGGAAGGCAACCTTGACTTTTGAATTGGGGTGGCTAGAAGTTTCTAGCATGGGACACCTAGGCAAAATCCAACTAGATTGGATTTTGCATGTGACACCTCAAGGACCTCATGATGAGGGTTGCATCCTTGCTGCTAGGAAGGTTCCTACCATCCTTCCCTAGCTCTTGGAGAACCCCTTCCCTCTCATGGTTCTCTTGGAGTCCCCAACTCCAACTTTCTATGCCTACGTGCTTGTACTCCCTCTACCATTCTAGTCATGCGGCTGCTGGACGTTTTTACTTGGTTCTCACTCTCTAGACCATCTTAACGACTGATTCAACTTGGAGATGGTAGCCAAGCCTAAGGCGCACAATCCTACTGAGCGGATTTGCGTTTAGTTGAGTAATAAGTTCGTCGTAAGCTCTCAAAGTGACGGATCCTGAACAACAATATATTGTGTGCTAGGGTTTGCTTGGTTAGGGACTCCCTGGGGAAATTCCCTCTCATCATCCTTATTGCGGAGATACACTCTACACCGGGAGCTGGACCACGGGGGAAGGCACGGGTTGTGTGAGTGATCGTAGCGTTCCTTGTGTTTTGCTCGTATTCTCTCTACGCGCACAATCACGGGAAGAATTGGCAAGAGTTTCACTAGCAAGAGTTCACAACAATGATTGAACAAGCAATGGCAAGAATGACTACATTAGGAACCTATTAACCCTACATACAAGCTGGTCGACCGCCAGCACAACAAGGTCGACATCTGCCAGCGTTGCGTAGAGGCACCGCGCCAGCGCTGCAGAGTTGCGATCTGCCAACAGAGCAAGTCGGCGGCTCGCCAATGCTGCACTAAGGCGGTTTGCCAACGCTGCAGCAGAGCGGTCTGCCAGCGTTGCACCGGCAGACGACAATAGCGCAGGTGCACACCCACTTCGCAGGTGCATGTCGACGGTCGAGCATGTTCTCTACCGTCGTGCAAGCGCCTGGTCGGCCATGTGCCGACAGTTGCGTTCGAAGCTCCACGTCGACCTCGGGATACCAGCCCGAGGTCGCCTTCACCATTACAACCCTGAGCATCGCGTGTGTCTGTAGAAACTTGTCAAAGAGGTTACTTGGTTGACCGGGTACCAACATCCTGCGCCCTGGTCAACGACCTCCTTCGTCAACCACTACTCCATCGAGGATCAACATGGTCGACGAACCCCTCTGTCGACCACCTCAGTTAGCTGCTGTTGTCGAACTCACACCTTCGACAGTCGCTCACAAGTCCCGCGCATGTCGACGAATGGCTTCGTGGACCACACCCAAGGCTGGTCGACGATCCCCTTCGTCGGCCACTCTAGACAAAATCTGCCGCCGGCTTCCTGTCGTCGGCAGCTTCGCAACAGACTACTGCAGGTCAACCAACTCCGTCGACCTGCACGCCTCGACCTCTGCGGATGGTCAGTCGCACCTCCCGCGCACCCAACCACTACGTCGGCTTCGCCCAAGCGAGGGTGGGGCCAACACACTATTCGTGTCAACACTCCCCTACCGCACTCACGCTTGTGCACCCAACCCGCATGGCAGACCTACACGGAGAAAACTCATCATTGGCGTGCACCCAACACACAGCACGCCATCACCTCACCAGCCATGCAGAAAGGCATGGCCCCTACTGCTGCGCGTCATCATCGCCGACGCCGACGTCGACGAGGCGCACCTAGCCGATCGCAACGGAGCACCGGTTGAAGGCCGGAAAGTGCAGCGCCTTCATTAGGAAGTCGGCCGGCTGCTCGGTAGTCGGGATGTTACGCAGTGGAAACTTCCCGCGCTTTACCATATATTGCGGCCAGGCATACCATCGCTCCATGTGTTTGACGTTGCCCTTCAGCCCAAGCCCTCAGCGACCATGACGGCCAACTGGTTGTTCACATGAAGGACAGTCAGTGTTTCAGCGTCGAGCAGCTGGAACTTTGCAAGGAGGAAGCTTGGCGCGCCTCCTTGCCGGCTTCTATGGCCGCGACGTACTCCGACTCGGCCGAAGAGAGTGTAGCGCACTTGATGCGCTGGCTCGACCAGGTGATAGCGGCCCCTCAAAAGACGAACATGTAGCCGCCCATGCTCGTCCGATTCTGCTGTCACCGGTATCCGTGTAAATAACCATACTCAGCGACTCTAGTCCACCGCCAAACTTCGGTATCACGGGTGTCTGCGAGGTAGGCGAGGCAGCGATCGACCTCACGCCACTGCTGGTCGCTCCTCACCGTCAGGCCGCTGCCCACCTTGCTGCATGCAAATGCGATGTCCAACCTCATCGTCTTCGTCGCGAACTGCAGTGAGCCGACCTTTTGCCTGTACTCCTCCTCCTCGCGCTCCTGGGCTTCCTCGTTGTCGAATGTCAGCTCGGCATAGGCATCGACGGAGACTGTCGTTTTCGGGATCCGTCCGCCCTGCTCCTCGTCAATGAATCACCGACACACCTTGTCGATGTAGGTATGCTGGTGGAGCCACAGCTTCCTCACCAGCCTGTCGCGCACGATCTCCAGCCCAAGGTACTTCTCGACCAGCTTGATCTCGCGTAGCTCGAAGGTGGCCTCTAGCAGCTCCTTTAGCTCCATCACCATCGCAAGGCTGCTGTTGGCAGCGAGCAGGTCGATGACGTGGACGAGCACTCAGCATGTCACTCCGTTGTCGCTGACCTTGAAGTACTCAGCCACTCCGCACCGTTCAGCACCGCGTCGAGCGCCGAGTACCACAGCAGCGGCGACTGCTTCAGCCTGTAGAGGCTCTTCAGCAGCTTGCACACGCGTTCAGTACCGTTGTTGTGGTAGTCGGGCTGATACATTTAGAGCACATAGTCCAGCTTTCTCTGTAAGGGGGCGTTCTTCATGTCGAGCTGTATCAGGTTCGGGTCGAGGACGGCGACGATGTTGAGGAAGATCCTCAGCGTGATCTAGCTCCCGAACGGAGCGTACGACTCACCGTAGTCGGCGCCATACACCTGTGTAAAGCCCTTCACGTCCAGCCTCGCCTTCTCGCGGGCGACCGTGTCATCGATGTGGTACTTCGTCATCAGCACCCACCGGTTCTTCATGATGTTCACCCCGCCTGGACGTTCGTCCAGCTCCCACATGCCGTTAGAGACGAGGCTGCGGATCTCTTCGTCCATGGCGGCCTTCACCGCCTCGCCCTTCCAGCTCTCCAATGCCTCCTACACCGTCATAGTCGCGATGTCCCAACTGTGCTCTGGATTGGCGTGCATGTTGGGGTCGAGCCCAGGCAGGTCGACGTTGATCTCCGCGTCGTCAAACAGCATGGTGAAGGCGGCTGGCGGCAGACAAGCTTGGACGCTCAGCCGCTCTGGGGGCCTTCGAAGTCGGCCTGAACGTTGAGGTTCAGGCTGCTTGACCAAAACCTCCACCACAAAACTGTTAGTTGACTCCTCTTTTGCCGACAGCTCCCCTTCGGCGTTGACACCCTCGTCGTCCACGAGCTGCCTCGCCTCCGCCGGCCCCTCAAACGGCTGCTCCCCTCTTGTCGGCCCGCTTGTCGACTTCTCTTTCGCCGACAGCTCCCCTATCGACTTCCCCGTCTGCTGCTCCTCTGCCGGCGGCACTTCTGTTGGCACCTCCTTCTCCACCAGCTCCCCTCTTTGCTGCCCTCCTGTCGCCGACGGCTGCACACCCTTGTTGACAAGCTTGGCGTCAGGTCGGCAGCCGGCGATGCCACTGGCCAGCGCCACATGCGTTGCCTCAAGGCTCCCCTCATCGTCGGTGGCCAACGACGGTGTCGGCACAGGCAGGTCGACGACAAAGGGTGGAGCAGCGGGAACAGGGGGAGGAGGAGAGGGTTGGACGTCATCAACGTCCGCATCAGCAGGCTCGTCGACTTTGGCAAGCAGTAGGAACATCGTTGTCGAGGTGTTAGTCGGCCGGTATGTCTGCGTCCGCCCTGACGCCGGCCCATATTTCAAGTTCCACACATCTAGTGACAACGTCTCGTTGAAGATGACCTCGACCGACGTGACTTCCTTGTTGTCAGTCAAGTCGAGCACTTTGTCAGAATATATTTGATATATGTTCTGTATAAGCGCATGTAGTTCTAGCTGTAGTGTAGTCCCATTATTGTCCTGTGTGGTGGTGCACCACTCCTTGCATGCTTCTCCTCTATTTGTACTTGTCATTCTATAGTTGAACCACTCCTTTTGCTTGGCCTTCTCCTTTGCCTAAGGCTAAACCCTAGCTCCTACTCCTAACTAAGCATCCTAAGCCTAAACCTAGTTTCCTAGGTGCTTAGTATTCTGACATGGTATTAGAGTGTTTCGATCCTATGCCTACTACGCTTCCGCTCATGGGCCCCTCTGCCCGTTTTCTGCCCGTCGGTTTTCTGCCCGTCGATTTCGGATCCCGTCGGTTTTCTGCCCGTCGCGCGCCCCGGGCGCGCGTCGATTTTCTGCTCGTCGCGCGCCCTGGGCGTGCGGCAATTTCGTCCCCGTCGTGCGCCCCGGACGCGCGACGGTTTCCTGCCCGTCGCGTGCCCCGGGCGTGCGACGGTTCTCTGCCCGTCGCGCGCCCCGGGCGTGCGACGGTTTCTGCCCGTCACGCGCCCCGGGCGTGCGACGGTTTCTGCCCGTCGCGCGCCTTGGACGCGCGACGGGTTCTGCCCGCCAGGGCGCCCTGCTGTCGCCCGCGCACCTCCTA